CTGCTTGTGCTGCCACCAGCGACTTGCCTCTCCCACAAGAATGTAGGTGGCAAATACGACCTTTTATTCAGGAATCATCCCAAGAGTCGTGAAGGCATTCTCTGTCTCAGCTAATCAATACTCAGCCTCTTCAAAAAAAGATGCTTCTACAAAGGTAAATGAGTTTAATATTGTATACATTTCAATATAAGCTAAGTCCATCATGGGTGAAATTGAGTTCTGTGGAAAAGGGACTAGATTGTGCTGTTGAGGGACTGGGTGGTCCTATGGCGGTGTTAAATGATACGATGGAGGTATTATATTATATTCTGGTGGTGCCGGATGATATAGTGGAGAAGCAGGGTTGTACCGGGGTGGCTTCAAATCTTTCCACTGCAAGGGTGGCTCAAACTGTGGAGGTTGGGGGAGGGTCAGACAGCTCTCTCCTTTCCTTTCGGGCTTGCTGTGCAGAGATGAATCTCTCAAGCATCTCAAAGAGTCTATCAATATCCTTTCGAAGTGAACCATCCTGAGTTGCTCGGTTTAGTGGAGGTCTTCCTCTCCTCATATCTTTGTACCTGTATTTCATAATGAAGAGTTGAGCGATAGTTTGTATTTGTATTTTTAAGTTTTTGTATAAGAAATGGTTCCAAAGAACCTGATGCTGATACCAACTGTAGAGCCTGGAACTTTAAAAAAAAATTATAATTTAAATGCAGAATCAAATAACAATGTTAGGGTTTACATTCCTTACGTAATAAATTAAATTCTCAAATAGGGTTACGAGAATATCTCTTCTATGTGATTCATAAAAGATAAACAGTAATTAAAAAAACAAATAAATAAGTATAATAAAGCAACCTTCACTAATACTTGAAGGGAGTCCAAAAAGTGGACTACTCACGACCTTCTTGGTGATTGGTATCTGGATCTTGGTTTTCTTGATTTGAAATAGTTAATGAAATGGTGAGTTATACGAACCCAGTAAGAATATCACACTAATCACTGATACGGAAAACCAAAGGTTGGTAAAAGTAAGAAAACATCTAATTGAACCCCTGCTTTAAGTAAATACATTTAACTTTAAAACTTTTTATTCGATACTTACCATACGGTTTTTTTCAAAATCAATCTATGAAGACAATTAATCAAATAAAATTTCAATTTCATGCATAGGATCAACAATCCTTCCTTTTTAATATATTTACTAAGACCTCTGGGGGTCCATAGGTATATCTCTCTACTCGTGAATCCAGTATCAATATTTGATAATTAACTCGGCTGTCCCCATACACCGTTCAGTAATAGGCGCCAAAAATATCATCGTCTCAATACCCCGAACAGTATGAGGGTGAAGGATATCTCCCAAAATTCTTCTAGTATGGAACTTCTCAGACCCGTCAAACTAAGATAATGTCCAGATAGGGTTCCCTATATACCGTGTCCATCCACCCTTTCCCAGGATTCCCAGTAAGTTTTTATTTATTTCGACTCTTATCATCCAAACAACCACTAAAGCATACCAACATCTCATTTCATATCCACAGATTAATTCAAATGATACTTAAACAAGCGATATAGTTTAGTATAGTCAAATAACTAATAACCAGAATCTCAAATAAACAATGCAGGAGGAACCAAATAACCAGATAACTGAGAAGACCATAAAAACCATCAATTCAATTATGCACAGTATAATAGTAAGCAAATATAGATAATACAAAAAAATAAATAGGGAATCAGGACAAATATGAACTAATTGGTTCCGGCTCCACTAGTGATTTGCAATATTTTTAAGATTTTTTATTTTTTCACAAAACATACAATTATCGATTATTAATCCTCAATTTACCATAATCGAAATAGGGTGAGGGATCCTTACCTGGATCGATGTTTTGAAATACTGTGATATCTACTACGCCTCTTAACTAGTCTCAGCTTTTTTGAATTTTTCTTACAGAATCTAAATACTCGTCACGTACATAAAAATA